ATCTTAGAATCTTATACATACTCAGTTTGATATGAATTATCGACTAGTAAAAAATATATATTTAGTTGAAAATAATACAATTGATAGTTTTAGAAGTATTTTAAATATTTATTTTTTAAATTAATATTTACTACAACTCCATTTAATGAAACGATACGTGAAAATAAATTTAGCATACGATTAAGAACTACAAATAAGTACAGAAGTATGTATTATATTAAACTTACTATAACATTTTAAACAGAATGTTGTTTTGAAAAAGTTTGTTATTATATTTTATATTTATAAAAATTAGTAAACATATAATTTTGTCTATATTCCAAAATTGAAATCAAACAGTACTTTGTTGGTCAGGTATTTCAATAATTATACTGTAAGAAATATACTTTATTAATTAGTAATAGTTGTTCTATTTTATGACTTAATAGTAGTTTCAGAATTTTATCTGCACTATTGTCATGGTCTATGGATGTATTTGAATATTTATTTATGTGGATAAACTGGTTATTGTCAGGGGGAGGAGAAAAGGAGAAATATTGCCTCCTCCTAAACACCATATTTTATTACTTAAAAGTTAAATTCCTTCTATTGTTGTTATTATTATATTAAGTTAAGCACTTTCTGGAGTAAATAATATGATAAAAAACCATCCAGTATTTGTGGTAGTAATAAGAAAGTATTGGCACAAAATGTTATATATATATTTCATACAATTTTATCATACGAGTAAAAGTTTAGCGTGTTCGTTCGTGTAAAAAATTCGTGGATTTGTTTTCAGCAACGATCTTAGAATTTATTGAGATTTAACAATGCATTTGAAGTTGATAAAATCAATCAGTGAATATTTTCATACATATTTTTTTGCTAAAATGAGATATTTTACCTCATTAAAAAAATATACAAAATAAATATTGGAAAAAGATGGATTATTTTTGTTATAATTAAATCAGATGCGTCATTAAATAAATACTCAAGAAATATACATACATTTAATGGAGCCATAAAAAATAACAGTTGTATACAACTTAAAAGTTGAAACCTCTAGACATGTTTTAATGCACAGTGTTAAATTTGTTCTACGAATTCGTTAGTAATCTTTTATCTTAATAATAAACTTACTAATTAATATTTTTATGTGAAGTTCGCTTATGGGTACGTTACTTATCTCTACAAATATAGAATTCGTATAAAAAATTATAACAGTACCTAAACCAGGTAAATTAATTTTTTGGCAAGCGAGTATAACTGCGGTATCTAAATAAAATGTTAATTCCTAAAAAAAATTACCTTACTTTTTGCCATTATTTTATTAATAAGAAACTGATAATAAAATATTGGTAGACATATTTTGTTAAATAATTTATAAAAAATAATAATGTATTAAGTACATAGCACAATTATTAATGTATAATTAAAATATTTTTAATTATCGCCATAAAAAATAAATTATATAAATACCATAAATACCAAACTATAATATGATAAGTAAGTAATAACTAAAATTTACTTTTTACTAAAAAATAAAATACCTTATTTTGATTTGTAATTACCTTCTATAATATTATAACAGAATAAGGGTGGTATTTATACATTGTATGCTGTACTGTATAAATAATTTGTTATTTAAGTTTTTTTTTTTTATTAAAATATCAAGAACTTTATCATATTGATCTATAGCAATATTTTTAAATTTAAACTCATCCTAAAACATTTTATGGTAGAAACTGAAAACAAAAATTTTTTTATTTAAGTCAGAAACGATCGTTTATTTACACGATAATGTATGTGAGGTATATACACAGGTAAACTCTAGGGGGTATTTGTGTATAATCGAGCGGAAGACAAACTATACCATATAATTAATCTCACAATTCGGTTACCAAGATACGCCTTTAGAGTTTAGCGACAACACTACTTGCTTTTCAAGGGCTTCAAAATATTTAGGAAAATTTAAAAACATTTAAATATGTTTAAGCACTAATTTAAATTAACTTAAAAGTGGTCCAAAGTCAGTACTAATTTTGTTTGTAATTATATGTTTATACACGAAAACTGTATGGTTTCAAGATTCAAAAACGACAAAATCGATGAAAGTATTTTTACAGTTATTGATAAGAAATCAAACGTATATTTTAAACAGTGGAATGATTATAGACTTTGTAGAGTCGTTTTAATTTCAACACGATTGTTATATCAAAAAATCAAAATTTAAGTTTTTAAATTTTTGAGGCAAAAAATATTTGGTTTCTTAATTAATGTTGTAACCCAAGTTCTTGCTCTCGCGAAACTGTTATAGTTTAACTATGTATGTTGCTAAATCTTGTAACTCACATATATTTGTACCACTATTTTGCTTTATAAATATTATAAAATGCACATCACAAAGGCGTATTCGATGGTTTTACTGATAATTCATATACAAATTCAAGTGAAAGTTGTTCAAAATTTATTCAGATACATTCATGTCCGGATTAAACTGACTATATACATTCCACAATATTTTTTTATAATACGTTCATTCAAATATAAAAAAAATAATATGTTTATACCACAGTCTATAATAAATTATTAAATTATTAATTTGTAATGAATTGATATTTGTAAAAACAATATAAATATATGATAATTTTTAATAAAAATGCGAGTTGTAGACAAAATTGAATTATACATTAATTTTTTATTTTTATTACGAGTCGTTTGTTGTTACTGGTTTTTAAATAAAATAAGTGTAATAATTTCATATTTATTTTACCAGTCTTATAAATTATTTATAACTGTAAAACAAGTAGAAATACAATTTTATTTTTAGAAGTGACGTGAGAAGGGATATGAAAATTGAGGGAAAGTTTTTGTGTTTCTAAGCCTGATGGATTTCAACCCGGACTTGATGTCAAAATATGATAATTATTAATTATTATTATTATTATCATAAACAGGCAGGGTTATCTTGAAAAAATATTATGACTAAAATTTTCGAGCGATTTTTTGGGAACGATTTTTTTGTATAATTCGATTCGTGTTTTCATAACATTTATTCAGGGCGACGGAATGTGTGGTTTATTTTTCAGATGTTTATTTTTGTTGTGAATGTTTTAGAATCGAGTTTTGAAGAATATAAAGTAAGCAAATTTGAGATGTCCCGTTCGAAACACGCTCGATGGTGAACAAATATAAATAAAGCATCGGTAAAACAAGTGTATTTTCAGTGACGAAAAAATTCACATCGTGTAATAGTGGGCAGGTATTGAAGCTATAAAAAAATTATATTATTATAATGTGATACAATATTATTAAATTATAAATTGCGCGAAACGATAAACAAGAACACCGTAATTAAATATAAATTACCAGAGATTTACGTAAGTTCCAGATTTTTATTATTTCAAATTTTCTCTGCACGATGCTTTGGCACGTCAAATTATCGCTTACTGATCATAAGAAATAGGGGTTTGAAGAAACTCTCATTTATTTTATATAAGCTCTGTGAATGTACTAAGCTTGTTACTAAATTTGTTTCATTGGTCATTTTTTTAGATTAAATTTATTCGACTTTTTTAATGATAAATACGTTTTTTTTTTATATTCTAAGCATTTTATATTGTTCAATGAATTTAAACTAATTTTATGTATTAACTAAGCAATCAAAAGTCGTTACTACTTTTTATTTGAAAATAACCAAATATTTGAAGTTGTGTTTAGTCTTAAGGATTCTTTAATGCATAAACAGTTTCTACATAATTTAAAAATAATTACGCAACAGTTAAAAGCGGGTGTACTAATTAAAATGTGGGGCCATTAAGTAATTCACTTTTATCATTTATTTAAATATAATTTAAATTATAAAAATGTCCTTTAAATTAGACCTTTCAAAAAAAGTAGTAGGTATGACGACTTATTTCTATTTACGTGTGAAAATTTGATTAATGAAATAAACTACATTATAGAACTACCACAACTCAATTAACTATTAAAGTAAAAAAATAGTATTATACTTGAATTTTAAATTGAAAAGATTTACTTTTATGAACTAGTTGTTACATATTTAAAAAAAAAAATATATAAGATAATTTTATAAAAGCAAATTTAAAATATTAAATAATTATTTGTTATCGCCAAATTAAAATTTTATGTTTTAATACCAAGTCTTGGGATCTAATATTTGTTAATGAAAATGAAAATTATTTTTTTTTGAAAAATAACATAAGTATTTATCTATATTATGTGAAAAACCCATTAAATATACTACAACGAAGCACCTAAAAATATTCAAAAACTTCTAAACATATTCAAAAATATGTAATGTAAAAATCCGCGCTTAGAGATACTCTGTACTTAAAAAGTATTCAAAACGTCAAATATATAACATTAATTATCAATGCTTCACGTTACATGCCTACGTCCATTATGGATACGTAAATAAATGAAGTTTCGAGCCATGCCCTCACCATAAGATTATACTTAAAACTCAGACTATGACTGACAGTTTTTGAGTGGTTGATTCTTAAAACTATATAACCTAAGTGCACATACCATAGGAATTTATTTTATTTTTAAGTTATAGCCTTCTTGTACACATAGGTGCGCTATTCTATATTATTATACTCAAAGGTGGGCAAGTAAATAAAAATAAATAATTCAAGTTAATTTAAATTACGTGAACAAATGATCGTTAATTCAGAAGTTAATATAAGAAAAACATTATTCACATAATTCAGTTAAACAAAATTAATCTATTTTTTTATTTTTATTTTTGATTCGTACGTGGATTACACAATAGCGATCTTATGTATCTTTTTATATCCTATGAGTATTTCGTGCCTATTTATACATAATATTATTTTATCGAGAAACATAAGATTGTTACACTGATTATTTATATTTAAAACCATGTATAGGGTAATAATATAAAACTAACAATTTAAAAAACATTTTTTTTTTTTTATATTACCTCGATTGATTATTTTTGAATCAATTGAAAAAAATCAAAATAATTTCAATAGTCAATTAAGCTATAGTTAAACCTATTAGCAAGTCAATGCCCACCTTTGATTATATTATGCAATGTGTGTTCATCTACGTGGGTTCAAAATATACATTCACGAAAGCCAGATCATTTCAAACGCAACACGGATTATTGGAAGTCGCTGGGTAACAACACACACGCACACACGCACATACCCACGCGCACACACGCTATTTGTTTTTCTACCTTCAGTGCCATAACCATAATTATCTTGGCCATGATCATCATCACCGTCAAAATCATCAATCTCGGCTTCCTCTACAATCGTAGCACACTTCTGTCTGTTCGGCACGCCTGCCGCAGCAGGCAGCAACGACGATGTGTCCGACACTTCCGACACGTTCATCGCTAACCTCTGCATTTTATGCACCATGGTTATGGCGTTCATTAGTTGCTGGAAACATTATCATCATCATCTTAACGGTTTTAGTTTCATTTTTCTACTTCGTCCAGTATCGGATATGAGCCGATTTACGTACGTAAGTATAGGTATGTCTAATATATAGGTAGGTACTATATTTTAATAATTACGATGCATTAAATGACACTAAATTGTCCAAATATTGTACGATTAGGTCGTTAAAGGATAGGACACATATGACGAAATTTATACTGTCTACCGTGTTTGAAGGATGACAAAAACTGTGCTGGGAATGGCGGGGGTGGGGTAAGGTTGTGCTGTGGCATTTATTCGCGTAGAATATTATTTGTTATTATACGATAGTGATGTACAGACTACGGGTTGACCAATAAGACGCGGGTACGTACCTTCCATCTGGATTTGGCGAAGTTCTTTTTGAGTTGAGCCGAAACAGTTCCGTGAATGTTCTTACTGCTGGCCGCGTTACCAGATATCCTAAAACGCATACATCATTAATGTTGTTAAAACGTAAAAAAATAACAGTGAGGTACACATAATGTGTATAGTATTATATATTATTACACAGTATTTGTTTTATAAAAGAAGTAGGTAAAAATGCAAATCAAAATATTATTAAAAAAGCAAACAGTAATTGTATTAAAAAAACTCAAATATTTAAAACGAGTAGGTATAATCATAAATTTTGATTAAAAAATTTAAACGGTTTTACGTCGATACGTTTCCAAGAATATCATACAAATAGTATGAATTGGATAAATGGGAATATTTAACGCGTAAAGAAATATAAACGAGTAAATAACAACAGAAAACTAAAAATATAAAAATAATGATAATAATTGTTGCTTTATAACGGCTTCCATTGGTACACGTTTATTGGATATTTCAAAAATACGACGTTCATATAATAATAAACAATATTTTTTAATTTTATTTATACTTAAATTTTTCATAATAATTATTTTTAATAATTGTTTGTTTTGCTATGAAATCAAAACATTTTTATGGTTTGAAGTTTTATCACTTCCCTTAAAAAAAAAAAAAAAATCGTCACTGCTGTGAATACAGTTGTTAATTATTTTTACACAAATATGTACTCATAAATACTAAATAAACAGAAACTAAATGTTTCAAAACGAAAAAACTACTCTCAAAACATAGTTTAAGTATAAAACCACATAAATAAAAAATATAGTTTAGCTTAAAGGAAAAATAATTTTTTTTAATTATTTAAATGTGACTTGAATTAATATAATTTTAATTACAGCTATTGTTGATATGAATTTTTAATTTTTTTTTTTTTATTGCTTAAGTGAAAATACACATCATTTATAATTTTTGTACAATAAACAAGTTGCATAAGCAGTAAATAATATGAATTGGGAAATTACTCCATGGTAACATCCAGCACGTGTGTTGTTTATTCAGAGATACTAAATCAGAAGATCCCTACACTATTTTCTTTTTAGTCTCCGTCGAAGGTTATCGGGTAGTGTGTTCGTTAATAATACATATAACGATTAGGGGATAAGCGTACGATTGAAATTTACTGTGAAATCTAGAGTAACCACATTAGGATAAATCGTTGATAAGTAAGAGAGCTACGTATGTTGGAAAACTGTTTTGATTTATTTGTTTTTAGTTGATTATAAGTGTATTTACCTATGTCAAAAGCATCTAGATTTGCGTTTTTCTTGAATAAGGTACGATAAGGTACGTATTTAATATGGTTCGAGAAAGGAGTGAGTTCGGGTTTGGAGTTAGTGGGAATTGATGCTAAGTGCACGCATTCTTGTAATTAGAACTATAATGTTTATGAATTATGACATAGGCCAAGTAAAAATAATATACAGCAAAATATATAGTTTTGGATTTAATTTTCATGTTATTTTTTTTTTTTCATTTATCAGACCAACGAAATCGTAAACACGTTATACGAAAAGTATTTATTTTTATTATAATATTCGTGTTGTATTGTTGCAATGTTATATTGCGTCGGTATATAATGATAAATTAGGTTGTGGAAATTCATGCGATGAACATATACTTTACAATATTATCCCACTTCTATTCTACAATCGATATATTTGTGTGTATGAAAAACGTTCAATACATCTATAATTCAGTCGTTTATACATAAATGATGTAACTAAAACAAATTGACAAATGTAATCAAAATCGATGACATAATAACTTTTGTTAATATATATTTTTAAATTTTGTGTATGACATTCATAATTATACTAAAAAATATCGATTAGAACAAAAGTTTTAACGTAGATACAAAGTTGGTTAATTATGTTTGTTAGTTATTTCTATAATTCAGTTAAATCATGTTCATACAAATATATGTAAAGCAAAAACGTGAATATTCATATTTTCTGTACAGACTACACTATATCGTTGTAATATTATACGGACAGTACTCGTTAATTTCGTGTTTACATTTTTGTAATCACGACGGTCGCTACAGATGTCGTATTGTTAATTTACATTTACCGATGTAACTGAAACTATTATGTAATGCGTAACAGCTGCTTTAGCGCTTGCAGAATTTATAATAGTACTGTTTTGAATATTATTGTTTTCGAGCTGGGAGTTGTGGGTAAAACAACACACTGAAAAATTCTTAGAATGCGCCTTTTAAAGGTTTTAAATAATAATGAAATCTTATATATACCTTTGAGATTATAAGACACATTTTGAGATCTGAATTCGTCGAAAACATAGTTATTTATGATTAACACATTTTTAAACAAAAGTTCTGTGTAATCGTGTAGTTGTATGAAATACGAAAATATCCTATAGAAATGTGTGTAATATGATGATTTTTCGCAATTTTTATTATGTTATTTATGTTATATTAAATTGCAGCCGTCGTGTAGTTTTAATAGCAATAACCCATTAAAGAGTGTTGGTAATATTTATATATACCGCAGTAAAATGAATGGAAAATTAATAAATCTTTTGATGTTTTTGTTTGTACTTACCATGGATGAGCCAGTGCTTCACGGCACGTATAACGCTTGTCTGCGTCAACACACATCAGTTGCCTTATAAAGTTTTTTGCCGAATCACTAATGTCGTCCCAGTATGGAGAATCGAATTCAAATTCACCTGTAACAACAATAAGGGTACACTCAAAATTCGTTTTGGATTTAGTTAGTATTTTCAAGCATATAGTTATATCTGTTGTGTCATGAAATCGTTTTTTCGAATGTCTTTAATAAACATTAGCGGAAAAAAATATTTCATATTCATAATTAATGCGTTTCATTTATTAAAAATCCATAGGCAGAAAAATGTTTAAGTGCATTTTTGTAAAATTAATGAGCAATGTTGACAGGGCGTTATTTATTTTATACAAATTAGAAATAAAACCGGGGAAGTCGCTTGGCTGTCAGGATATGGTTAAGAGTGTACTTTATGTCAAATCAAATAAATATTTGACATTTAAAAAGTTTTTTTGGATTTTCTATAAATTTTGATAAAATTATTTTTTTTTTTAAACAAAATGCTTGAAATTCCTTACAAAATCTATTAGAACAATTTAAAGTTTTTTACATTAATATAAAATATTAAAAATTCACAATTTTTTTTACACTGTTTAAAGTTCAAGGTTTAGCAAAATTAAATAATTAAATAAAAAATACATATTTTCTTTAACGATATTAGTTATATTGTTGTAATTAAAAAAAAATATAAATTGAAGGGACTAAAAATCATTTATCGATTTTTATACGTTGAATGAAATTTTTAAAAAACGTAGACTAATTTTAAGTTCTTTATACAACGAGCTTACGTGCCTCTTTACTTTGTCCTACTATTTGTTAGAATTTAAAACAATAATGATGTATGATTATATATTATAATAAGCATCTGTTTTTGACAAAATTAATTAAATCTGCCATATTACTAATAAGAAAATAAATAACTTAGAGTTATATAAATATAAATTATAAAATATTTTTAGAGGTAGAAGTAGATATAAAGTCTTCACTAAAAATTGTTATTCGTACCTAAGCAATGATTTATCATTAAACTCAAATTTCATATACCTATACAACGACCTACTTACTCATTGACAATGCACACTCAAAACATAAACTATATACTTACTTGATTTATTACTTTTGATCTCCCAAAGTAGAAACTAAATCCAATTTGCTGACAGAAATCATTTCCTTCAAATTTTTTCTGTCATAAAAAGTGTTTAAGGTAAAAAAAAAAAAAAATCAAACACGTGTTACACTGTACATTGAAATAATATTATAAAGTTTGCGCAAATAAAAGAAATGAAAAAAGTAGGTGCATTAAAATTTTGTATTTAGTGTAAAATGTAACATGTGTAAAATATTTTGTGATTTTATCAGGGCATATGATTGGAAGATTTGACAATTGTTGTTCATTGAAATATATTTCAAAAATAAATGTTTTTAAAATTTAAATATATTTATATTTGAATACATACAGCCATTATACACCTGCACGCACAAAAACCAATTTGATTTGCGCAAGAAATGACAATATATTATACGCACGAGTAAATCGACAATATTATTTACCTTTTAGAATTTGAGCGAAGAGATTCGCGTCGTTTTCATCGTAAAACGGCGGATATCCGCACAACAATATGTACGAAATAACACCGATGCTCCAGACGTCCACTGCTTTTCCGTAGGGCTTCTGAGCCAACACTTCCGGGGCTGAAAAATGAAATAAAAAAGTAATAAATATTGGGACGTTATTAGAAATATTATAATAATTGGAAGGTCATATAAATATAACAGCAATTTACTTTCACAAATAAAATCAATTTGGCGCGTCATAACATCATGTTTTATGGATATTTTATAATTATCCGATTAGAAATTCAAATTATTTCATGTAAATTTTAAAATAAAAAAAAATTTTCTTTTTTCCTGAAAGCGTTTTTTTTTTTTTTTGTAACTATATCAATTTCTTTTTAATGTCCCGCGGAAATCTAAGAGCGAAGGCTTTATTAATATTTTCAAATTAAAACTTATTATTACATAATATGTATCATTATGATGTTTCAATATTTATTTTTACAGTATATTTTTTTCCCTTTTCTTTTATTTGAATATCTTATTAAAAAATAAAAATTTTACCTCAAACTGCAGCATAATTATAACTATTTCGAATGGAATTAAAAAATTTTTGAAAACACAATTTATCTATATAAATGATAATTTATTGATAAATTTTTACGTATATCATGTACAATAAAATTACTTTCTATTCATATTTGTTTTATTTGTAATTTGTATACAATATTAACGAATAAATCTATTAAAATGTTGAATATCATCGATAAAAATATTTTTAAAATATTAATAATCAAAACGATGACGTTTTTAAAATATAACAGTAATAATCTTGCGTAAGTTATGTTCTAAATAATTTATTGTTCGGAAGTTGTATTATTAATTCATAGAACTTTTTGAAAGTATATAATGTGTACTTTTAATGCATAATGACAATAATAGAAAATAATATTGTATTCCATATATAACAGTATAATTCGATACGGTTTATCGTTCAATATATTTCTGTTATAACAGGTACACTAAACAATTTATTATAGCTTAAAAGTTCTAAAACGTACAGTATTTTTTTTTTTTACATATCTCAATAATCGTTTACTTTATTAGTATTTTTACTATTTTATGTACATAAAATATTATATTTGTCGTATGACAATCGTTTACATTTTAAGGATAAAAATATTTTAAAACCTAACCCAACTTGTACAATAAATTATTTAAATTATTTTAGGAAAAACTTTACACAGAGAATAGCGATAAGCACTAATAAAGAAAAGAGTCAGTAAAAGGGTTACATAAGATGTAATTATAATTTATTTAATATAATTTCATTACCTATAAAAAATGCAATGAAACGTAAAAAAAAAAATGTAGCGAGTAAAGGCATTAAAGCCTCAAACGATCGATGACACTGAGATGTAGTCTACCTTCGTTATAATAACTTATTAGACGATAGTTGCAAAGCTTATTTAGTGAATTGAATTTTTTTTTTAGAAATTTTATAAATAATTAATTTAATTTATATATTATATACTGTATTCTTAAATCACTCGGTTTACATTTTAATGGGTGTTAAATCTCTAATTAAGTAGATTGTACATTATTTGAATTATAATCGGTCAAAAGAAACAATGGCGTTTTAAGCAATAGTCATTTGGATCATCTCGTGTGGATCAATAACACGAACTAATTGGATTAGAAAATACTTAGGGGTATAAATGATTAAATATTAGTATTGTTCTCTAGGAGGACAGCTAAGAGTGTGGGGATAATCAATATTAATACAGTTTGGTTGAACTTGCAATACTGATGGTTTATTTTTGGTAGGAAGGTATATCCGTGGGGACCATGATACAGTTAAATCGATTGAAAACTAATAGTATGGAAGACACGATTGCAATGCAACAACTGGGTAGTAGACGGCCATCTCTATAGCTATTGTAATTATAATTATATGTTAAGATATTATCACTTGGCGCGTCGTTTCTGCGCTCAGGGCCTGTTTAAGGAATTGCGTCTTTTCGGAGACATTGCATCGACTGTATACAATTCAATGGGATACGTATTGTCAGTTCCTTTTAAAATATCGCATTTGAAAAACTCTAAATGGGTTTTCGATTCCAATCACTAATGTGAGATCATGCCCAGAGTTTGTACCGAAAAACCTGGTAAGCGTAATAAATATTTAACTTACACGCGGTGTAGGCGTATCCTTTGTTACGCGAGTTAAACGTATCGAAAATGGCATAGATAGTAAACGAAATCGAGATTCACGGAAATGGTGAGATATAATAATTGACAGCGGTAAGACGGCATTTTGTCACAGCGGTAAAGGTCGGAATGTTAATGACTAATGATAAAATGTTTATATATCGTTGTCGGAAATGATTATTTTCAATTGAATGTTATACGGTTTGTGCTGTGTGCGTTTATTTTGTAAGGTTAACTGATGTGGTAGAGACAACGTAATAGTATATAACATTAAGCCTATCGATTACATAGAAAGAGGTAGATAGATAGAGTAAGTGAGAGCAAAAGTTATACCATTTTATACATTCTATTCTTATTATTAAAATTCTATAAAATGTAAAAATAGTCATTAATTGATTATGAACTATTGTTTTAATTAATTATCAAGATACTTGCAACTTTAGTTTACTTTGTATGTATAAAACAGTTATAGTGTTTCGCGAAACAGACTATTAAAAAAATGATCATAATGTAAAATATTTTTATGTCTATAAATGTATAAATTCATTATTATGTTATGTAAGTTATATAACCATAGCAAAATTTATGTTTGAAAATTAAATCGAAATAATTATTTTTTCTTATATTAAATAATCTTAAAGATTGATTTTTGTTTTTATTTCGTTTTTTTTCCATACATCTCTAAATTTAAAGTATAAAATACTTATTTAAATGAAATCTAAAAAAAAAAAAAAGAACTGAATATTTTTATTATTAGACTTTTCTGTAAAAGAATGAACTGTATTAACGGTTTTTTTCACAGCGGAATTGAATGTTTTTTAAAACCTTCTATAGATCGTTTGTATTAAATTTACTAAAAGTTAACGATGAAATTCATGATAGAATAAATTAAGTTAAAAAAAAAAGAGCTAGTTGCACTAAAGTCTATGAGATTTTTATTTTTTAAATTTGTTTTTTTTTCAGGTTTATTTCTATAAAAGAATATTACACCTTACAGTTGTTGGATATTTTATTTATATAAAACACTTCCTAAGTGTTATTATTTTCAGAAAATATGTCACTGACGGTAAAATGAGTGTATTGGGAACGGAATTGTTTGATTTTCAAATGACACATTAGTGAAATAGCGTATGTAACGAGCAACAACTCGCAGATTTTATACGCACTACTGAATACTACGAGTTGATAGAATACAAAAAAATTATACGAAACTCATATACATTGTATACTTGTATATTATTTTATACAGGTGGATTTACCAAGTGCGCTCACCACCATGTTTTCCTTTAATAATCTATTTTAACAAAACTCAAGTTTTATTTTTCAAATAATTTAAACTTTTATATAATTTAAAGAAAATTTTGTTGTGATAAAGCTTATTTTTTCCAAATGAGAATCAACTTTTTAATATCAGTTATTATTAAGTAGACGATAAAAAAATTGATGTATCAAATTAAAATTTTTAACAAGTATAGTTTCTGAATAGTTACTAAAATTAATATAATAAAGATCTAAGAATCCTTAAAGATTAAAAATATATAATATTTAACTTCTAATCTTGTAATTGTTGTAATACTATGATAAATTTTACAAACTATAAATTATAATTTATTACTATAATATATAATATTTCATAGCTCTCATATATTCCAAAACTATTATCCTAAGAATACAAAATTTTTAATTATTATTGCTATAAAATTTAAATTTATATACATCAACATTTAAAAAAAATAATCAATTCATTAAAAATGTATTAAAACCTATAGGTATAACAGGAAAATTTTGATTTGAATGAAAAGTTGTCTCCAGAGGACATACCTTAAATTAGTTCAAAATTTAAAAGTTTTGAAAATAAAGTTTCTTGAATATAATTTAAAAATTCTAAAAATTAGGCTTCGAATAAATTATATTCATAATTAAAAGAAAAATGGTGAGGGGAGGGGAAGTGTGATGTTAAGTGAATCACTTTGTATATCGAACAAGTTTATTATTTTTTTTTTTGGAAACTTGTTTTATGTTTTTATTTTTTACAGCGAATTTTACCACATTTATATTTACGAAGAATAAATGTATGTGGTTTACCGTTATGAATTTTATAGGTAGCATTTTTTTTTTTTTTGTATGTAAATTATACACTGAAAAAAATAAACACAAGCCTTTGTGCTATATATTCATTTTATATTGCATGTTTAGCTACTAAAAACGAAAGACGTTGGTACACGTAGTGCATATAGTTTAATTTGATGATATCGCGTAGAAGTTAATTTAATCTGACCCGGGTTTGAACATACAAATAGTACCACCAGCTGAATATTTTTTATGGATGATATTATCTGCTGAAATTAATTTTCAGGCAACCATTTATATGAATAATATAGTTTATTAAAAATAAAACACCATTTCGGGAAAAATCCACGTCAGTAGTTATATATACTGCAGCTGTTCTCCATGTAACAGATGAGACGTCTCGACATTGTTTTAATAGTTTTAACACACCGATGTATAAAAGGTGATCCATTTAAATGTCAACACTAATTATTTCGAAAAGCTTGAACTTTTTTCTTAAAGAAAAAGTATGATTTTTACAATTTTTATCATAATAATGTTTTGAATTTTTTTAATGAAAAAATATATTTTTTCTAAAACTGTATATTTTTTATATTACTGCTGTGATACATACCATACAAATATAATTTATTACGAGTATTTAATAAGAAATGAATTATAATTTTTAAGTTGATCAAAAGTTTGTGGTGTACCATTGCTCAAAATTCGATTTTTATTTATTTAAAATTATTTTGAAATATTACTTCGTATTCCAGTGGTAATAATATTAAATTGTTTCTTGGTCAGCATCTAAGGGTTTTGTAGTAATAATGCCGTTAGTAATAGTTCCTGATGTAATAAAATTATTCATAAATTGT